CCTCTTGTTGGACTGACCTCTTTATCATTATGTAATGTCCTTCTTTATCTCTTGTTTCTTTCTTTGTTTTGAAGTCTATTTTTAGTCTGATACTAGTACTGCAACATCTGCTTTTCACTCCTTGTTGTTTGCCTGAAATATGTTTTTCCATCCCTTGACTTTTAGTCTGTGCATGTCTTTGGGTTTGAGGTGAGTCTCTTGAAAGCAGCACATAGATGGGTCTTGCTTTTTTATCCATTCTTTTACTCTGTGTCTTATGATTGGAGCATATGGTCCATTTACATTTAGAGTGATTGTTGAAAGATATGTACTTATTACCATTGCAGGCTTTAGATTTGTGGTTACCAAAGGTTCAAGGATCGCTTCTTTACTGTCTTACTGTCTAACTTAACTCCCTTACTGAGCTATTATAAACACAGTCTGATGATTCTTTATTTCTCTCCCTTCTTATTCCTCCTCCTCCATTCTTTATATGCTAGGTGTTTTATTTTGTGCTCCTTTGTGTTTCCTTTGACTGCTTTTGTGGGTAGTTGATTTTATTTTTTGCCTTTAGTTAGTATTTGGTTGGTCTACTTTCTTTGCTGTGATTTTATTTTCTCTGGTGACACCTATTTAGTCTTAGGAGTGCTTCCATATAGAGCAGTCCCTCTAGAATACCCTGTAGAGGTGGTTTGTGGGAGCGAAATTCCCTCAACTTTTGCTTGTCTGGGAATTGTTTAATCCCTCCTTCATATTTAAATGATAATCATGCTGGATACAGTATTCTTGGTTCAAGGCCCTTCTGTTTCATTGCATTAAATATATCATGCCATTCTCTTCTGGCCTATAAGGTTTCTGTTGAGAAGTCTGATGATAGCCTGATGGGTTTTCCTTTGTAGGTGACCTTTTTTCTCTTTCTGGCTGCTTTTAATACTCTGTCCTTGTCCTTGATCTTTGCCTTTTTAATTATTATGTGTCTTGGTTTTGTCCTCCTTGGGTCCTTTCTGTTGGGAGTTCTGTGTGCTTCCGTGGTCTGAGCAGCTATTTCCTCCCCTACTGTGGGGAAGTTTTCAGCCATTATTTCTTCAAATATACCTTCTATCCCTTTTTCTCTCTCTTCTTCCTCTGGTACCCCTGTAATGCAGATATTGTTCCATTTGGATTGGTCACACAGTTCTCTTAATATTCTTTCATTCCTGGAGATCCTTTTATCTCTCTCTGCATCAGCTTCTCTGCGTTCCTGTTCTCTGATTTCTATTCCATTAACAGCCTCTTGCAGCTCATCCATTCTGCTTTTAAGTCCTTCCAGAGATTGTTTTATTTCTGTATTATCCCTCCCAACTTTATCCATTACTCTTGCATTTTTCTCTGCAGCTCCATCAGCATAGTTATGACCTTTATTTTGAATTATTTTTCAGGAAGATTGGTTAAATCTATCACCCCAGGTTCCCTCTCAGGGGATCTTTGTTATCCTTGTCTGTATCAAATTCTTCTGCCTTTTCATGGTGATAGAAGTAGTCGTAGGCAGTTGGCACGTGTGTCAGCTGGGAGAACAAAGTCCCTTCCTGCTTACCTGTCACCTTCCCTTCCTGTGAGAACAGCGACCCCTAGCGGCTGTGCTGGGCAGCTGCACGCTGACAGGGCCTCTGAGTCTGGCCCGGGCAGCTGCAGAGGAGGCTCTGCACGGCTGCTGTGGGCGTGGCTGGTCTCAGGCTGCTGCTTTGCTATGGCTGGACCATGCCAGAGGGGGAATGGGCAGGAGGCTGTTTATTGCCGTGAGGAGCCTCAGAGCTGTGCTCCCGCCCAGGGGGTTAGGGCACCCAGAGTTCCCTGGGATTCCCAGCTGCTGGGCTGAGTGTGCTGGGACACTTCCATCCAGCTGTGAGGCTCCTGTCCCTTTAAGACTTTCAAAAAGCACTCGCTTTTCTTTTGTCCCAGGGGCTCCAGCTGTGGGAACCTGCTCAAAGGTTTTACTGTCCCGTTTCCCTAGTATCCTGCACCCCATGCACTGTGTGTCTGCACTCCCAGTGCGGATAACTAGGGCTGGGTATTTAGCAGTTCTGGGCTCCCACTCCCTCCCCACTCCAACTCCTCTCCTTCTGCCGGCAAGCTGGGGTGGGGAGCACACTCGGGTCCCGCTGGGCTGCAGCTTGTATCTTACCCCCTTCATGAAGCACTGGGTTCCTGCAGGTGTAGATGTAGCCTGGCTGTTGTACTGTATCTTCTGGTCTCTCTTTTAGGAACAGTTATATTTGTTGTATTTTCAAAAATATATGTGAGCTGGGAGGAGATTTCCGCTGCCCTACTCATGCTGCCATCTTGGCTCCTCCTCGAGATGGTATCAGTTGTTCCTTTTTTAAGGAACCATTTGGCAGATGCTCAAATGTGCATCAGAGAGAGCCAAATATGAGTGCAAGAAAGTCACCTTGCATAGGCTGCTGGACAGAACATGAGACTGGGACCTTAATCCTGAGGGTGCAGGGAGCTACCTGGGATCCTGGGCCAATTAGTGATTAGCCATATGGAATTTATGTAGCAACTTAATGTCAAAATTCTGCTGGGAAAACAACCTCTTGTCCCATAACCTGTCCTGCAGCCCTGGCCAGAAGTGGGGCTTGAGCTAGACATTGAGGAGTGGGTGGAACTGGACAGATGGAGCAGGGACAGGGTTCCACATAACGGTGCAAAATGAGCAGACAGCCAAGGAGGGACTGAACTAGAGAGGGGAGCACTGTGAGGCCATGGCAGAGAGCACAGACTCAGCAGGGCTGGTGGGAAAGGGGCTGGGTATGAAGGAAGGGGGCCAGGACCTCTATGGCCTCCCAAGGGAGTTTAGATGTTCTTGGAGGAAATCAGCCATGTGAGGTTTTTAGCAAGATGAAAATGGTTATATTAAAGAAAGGTCATCTGGCACTGATAGGAAGGATATACTGGAATAGAGAAGGCTCTGAGCCAAGGATGTTAGGGAGGAAGCTGTTACTGTCATTTAAGTCTAGAGCAGCGGCAGTGGGACCAGAATGGATATACCCAAGAGACATTTAGTGGGAACTAACCAAGATTTTTTTTTTTTTTTTTGTCTAACTGGTGTCAATAAATGGGAAGTAGGAGAGATTAGTCTAAAACAACTCCAGGTAATTTGTATGACCAATGTCAGGGTGGAGACTGGAAGAGAGCTTGTTGACAGTCTGAGATGTGCTCTGCTTATTACCAGGCCTCCCCTGCGACAAGGAAGGCTGCTGCCCCCTGACGGTTTCCACTCAGTGGCTTCCAGATCCACACCTCAGAGCTTCTCAAAGGCATGCTGAGCAGAAACCAGACTGCCACATCTCCACTTGATTATACTTCTGCTAAAAAATATACCTATCTGAAAACAGAGCAACCAACTCCTAACCACTCTGGCATAGCAAACACACAATTTAGAGCAAGGCAAAGAAGACGCCAGAGTAGTCACAGAACTTTTCTCATTAATCTTCTCTGCCTCTGTTCAGTCAAAACCCAGCCTCCTCCCTTCTCCACAGGCCTGGAAAGAAAGCCAGATGGGATGCACAGCGAAAATGAAAAAAAGTCTGGGTGATTCCTGTGCAAGCCACCATCTTCTCCCCAGCCCCAAACACACACACAGCACACAGCACATTCTATCTTACTCTGCACCTTCCTTGTCATAAGTCACAGGACAGATGCAGAGCCGCGGCAGGTGATGGATCTTTGTGCCAAGACACCAACATTTAGAAAGCATGAAAAAGGATTGATACTGGTTTTCAAAGATCATGTGGTTTTAATTTTATCAAATTTCCCTGCTGACAGCCCAGGCATTCCTTCAGCCCTGTAGAAGCAACTGAGCTTAGCACCTAGTTAGCAAAAATAATTAGAACAGGAGCTAGCAGATGGTACACATTGTTAAAAACACCTCTCTGTGCGCCAAATCATGAAGCACAAAGCTGACTGAGGGCCCGTTCAGTGCTGCTTGCCCACAGCATCCAGATTGCCAGTTCTGGGCAAGTGAAAAATCTGCTTTCAGGTCCCATGTTATTGGCAGATTCTGTTCGGCCACTTCTTACTCGGGCACATGTCTTCACCTCCTACTTACAACTTATTAAAGAGGTGAGATGTTGCCTTTCTTGGCTTTGCCAGTTTAAATCTCAGTTTCTGCCTTAAATCTTCCATACCTCCAAGCCAAATAAAGGTGGGGAGGGGAGAAAAAATTACATCACAATCAGAGTGGAAATTCATTAAGCCAAGGCTAATGTCTTCCCCATCATGGCTTCTCGGTATCCAGTTTCATACTGACCAGCTCACTTCCAGAGAGCTCTTATGGATTGCCTCTGTGCTAGAAAGGAGATCAACCTCAGATCTGCCACACTAAGTAGGCTTGTGCCCTGAGCACATCAATTTTCCTCTCCCGAAGACTGAATAAGCAGGCCTTCTGTTCTCAGCCAGCCCTAATATGTCATTACTAAGCTGTATGACCTTGAGAAAATAACTTCTCTGGGCCTGTTTCATCCCCTTCACCCTGAGGACTCTGGGCTAGGTGATGTAAAGACTCCTCCTTCAGGAAAGTAAATTGGTAAGGTGGTAACTTCCTATGGGCCTATTTAAACCATTTTCTCCATTCAGGTAGGTGTGGACAGGCTGAGTTCTGAAATAATGGAAACTACATCAAGGAGAAATGGGCAGTAATGGGGGGTGGCAACTCGGTGTGAAAGAGGAAGGGTCTAGAAGTGGATTTGAGCTGGGATCTGGAGCCATGAGAATAGAGGAGCTCCCTAAAGGGAAAGTGTAAAGAGCAAAGGGCCAGGAACAGCCTGAGAAGAAGCGGGGGCAGGAAGAAAAGACAGAAAAAAAAATTAGACAACCCTAAATGTTTAGCAGCAGAATGTAGGGTAGCTTTGGAGAGAACCATTCCAGGAAAAAGAGAAGTCATTTGACATTTTGTTCCTAAGAAGGAATTGTTCATCAACATTTACAATTGCACCTCCTTTACCGACCTGCAGCCATAATTCAGACCTTCCTCTTCTCTCTAGGCTCTGAACCTTTATGGAGGCATTGACATCCTCATCTCCAATGCTGCTGTCAGCCCTTTCTTTGGAAACCTATTGGATGCCACTGAGGATGTGTGGGACAAGGTGAGAAGGGATTAAAGCAGCAGGGACGGACCTCAGAAGACAGCACAAACTCGGTCTTTAGAATGCCTTTGTGCAATGTAAATGGGAGGAATTTGCCATTTGCAATGCTCCTGGTAAAAGGTGAGCGGGAGGTGGCTTTCTCTATCCCTGCCCTTCTCTCTCATCTCTGCTCCATGTCTTCCACTTGCTCCCTGCTACCCTTCTCCTGCATGCCTCCCCAGCTCTCTCCCCCCACATGCTTATCCAGGCTTTTCCTGGTTTATTTCCAGCAGAGACATGGCAGCTAATATGCGAATAACTAGTACACTTAAACTGACACATCGCCCATCCTCTCTTCAGCTGCCAAAGAATGACTTCTCATTTGTTGGAAAACTTTAATAGCTGCTAGTTCAGTGAAATACTAATTCTGGTGAAATGACCTAAGTTGCTGCTTTATAACTTACAGCCTTTGTAAAAGACCCGTGCTCTTTTCTTCTTAACTGCAGTGTCAAGAAAGTCTGAGACCCAGATGCCTAAATTTGGTGTGGAGTATTGGTTTTTATGTGAGCATGTGTAATTAGATTTTATTTATAATACGGTTCATGCACCTACACTCTTTAATTATAAAGCCTTAATTAAAATATCTATCTTTGTTTACTGAGGTTAATGTTCCCACATGATTTGGAAATGCTAAATTTTGTATGATCTCCCCTGGTTTTGTTTTTTACTCTTGATGTCATTGGTAATTTCTCAACACTGAAGTTTAAGGAAACTAAAATACTGTAGTAAGTTTATCAGTGTTTCACAGACCGTAAAGACTTAAGTGACAAATGCTCTTCAATGAATCAGTTCCTGATTGATTTCTTTAAAGTAGAGAGACATCATTCATGAGCAGTGTGTACAGAGAACACATGAAAATCAGTTTTAAACCAAGTAATTTGTCTTTTTAATTTACATTTTTTAAAAGTATCACAGTACATCAAATCTAAATAAAGTGGTTGACCCTTGGTTGAACCCTGGGTTTTTTAAATAGGACATCTGGGGGACAGTTGGGGAAATTTTATTACAGATAGCATATTAGGTAAAAATCAACATTATTAACATTAAATTTCTTAGGGTGTTAATGGATTGTGGTATATAAGTATGTTCTTATTCTTTGTAAATAATGCTAAAGTATTTAGGGATAGAACCTTATAACATCTGCACTGGTTCAGGGAAACACTATATAGATACATAGATAGGGCCCATGGGGCAAAGTGTGAATAATTGGTGGTCTAGGTAAAGAATATCTAGATATTCATTGTACTTTCATGTCAACTTTTCTGTAAGATTGAAAATTTTCAAAATAAGAAATTGTCATGGAGAGCCTGGGAAGGGAACATCCCAGCAGTGCCCAGAACAATGTAAACAAGGGTCATGCACTTGTTTTAAATTATGACTGTCAGATTTTGATTGTAGACTATGCCCTAGCTCCCCCAAAAGTGCCTCCTCATGATTCACTTTCCAATAAAAGTCCAGCTAGACGGTCTGTCCTGGAGGGCCAAGAACATCTTGCTCCCTAAGCTCAGAAGCCAGAGAAGTGCTGGAACAACCTCCGGTGCCTGAGGTCAGGCTACATTTTCCCTGAGAAGCACAAGTCACTCAGGCTGGTCCAGGAGACCAGCCCTATTCTAGGCTCTCCCTTGTTGGAAGAAACACAGAAAATCCAGCTCAAATCCAAAGCAACCCTGAGAGTGTAGGTCCATGCTGAGCCAAATCATACTTGGCTTGTTGGGAAATAAGAGGAAGCAGGCCCCCTTCTTTCTCACCTGACCCTGCTATTCCCTAGGAGAATGTGCTGCAGAAAGACACTTCTCCCGGGGCCACAGTTTCTGCCTTGTCAGGTGTGGGTAAATCACCTCTAAGACCTCCACCAACCCTAACAAACAAGAATGCCACAGTGTCTCCTCGGCGCCACCTTCTCCATCAACCCCCTCATGCTCCTCCCCTTCTTCTTGACTTTTCAGATTCTCAGCATTAATGTGAAGGCCGCCGCCCTGATGACAAAGGCAGTGGTACCAGAGATGGAGAAACGAGGGTACAGAGAGTGCAGTGGGGCCTGGGTTAGGGGCCCCACATGGACTGAGGGCGGGGGGCTCCACTGGAAGAGGGTAATTCTCTTCTTTTTCCAGAGGTGGCTCAGTAGTGATAGTGGCCTCCATAGCAGCCTACAATGCATTTCCTGTAAGAACCCCTTTCTCTGTTACCTTCAACCCCTCCTCTTTCCTGACCTTCCCTCCACCCCCATCCAGTTACCTTACAAAGTTTATGTCCCCTTTTGGAATCACACCACTGAGTCCCTTCCCACAAAAGAGTCCCTTCCCTTGCCTCAAGGAACCCTAACCTAGGGAAGGTTTAGCCACCTTCTTCCAGCTGAGACACTCCCTTACAGGAGATGCCCTATTATCCACTGCCTTTTTTGTCTTCAAATAAAAGTAAGAATGAACTAGAAATGAAGAGACTAACCCATCATCTCCTTTCCCCAGGGCCTGGGCCCTTACAATGTCAGTAAAACAGCCCTGCTGGGCCTCACCAAGAATCTGGCCTTAGAGCTGGCTCAAAGGAACATTAGGGTGAACTGCCTGGCGCCTGGCCTCATCAAGACTAACTTCAGCCGTGTGGTGAGGAAGGAGAGTCCTGCCTCCCTCTGGGACCCCAAGGGGCATCTTCCTGAAGGGGGAAGCCCACTTCCACCCACTCCCTGCGCTCTTCTGTATTCCCCCTCCATCCCAGCCCTATCCAGACCAGACCCCAACATGCTCCCTTCTTGAGGTGTATGGTAGAGACTGAGAAATTCAGACTCTATGCATGCTGTTCCATATCACCTTAAGCAAATGAGAATCTCAGAGACCCAGCAAAATGCCTCACTAGAAACAGAGGTAGCGATAGGGAAGGACTGGTAGCCAGGAAGAACTAGGTAGTGAAGTGTTTCTCCATCTGTCCTTCCTCTGAGTTTACCTGGGGTGGGCAGTTCTCCCCTCTCTATCCCCATTTCCTCCTCTTTCACATACAGAGGTTTCCCTTTCTCTGTAGTTGTGGATGGACAAGGCAAAAGAGGAGAGCATCAAAGAAACCATGCAGATAAGAAGGTAAGGCCGTCACAGGGGAGGGCTGGGAGAGATACAGACCATAGGTCTGGTCCCTCACACAGCCCACAGCTCACTGTCTTTTGGCCCCACAGACAACATGGGCATTCTCTCCTCTGCCTTAAACACACAGACTTCATAAGTTCATGAACACTGCCATCACTACAGAGGCATGTGCACAGAGTCCACTCCCATTGCAAAACCATACGCAGGTGTCCAGGCCTCAGCAGAGCATTGCTCTGGGCCATGACTCCTCTCTCTACCTGGGTGTTTGCCCCCACCTCTGGGCATCCTTAGTCTCCAGGGACTGAAACTGAAAGCAAATTCATGCTTCTTTAGTGCCCCTTGAATAAAAAGAGTCATGTTTTCAAAGTTCAGGTAGGTGATCCTACAGTCCAAATAAAAGGAATGAAGAGCTTTACTAAGTCCCAAAATTCCCCTTGCTACTAAGAAAACTAGCCTCGGGCTGGCTGAACTGTTCAAGCACCTTCGTCTGGCTCCTTTCCTTTGAGTTCCCTGTCTCCAGCTTCCGGCTTCTAGGAACTCTTGTCTTTAGCTTCTTCACCTTGTCCCCTCAAGGACACATGCGATCAGTGCCTACTTTATTAATCTAACCATCCCGGACTCCCTCAAGTGCTCCCAAAGCCATTCTGACTTAAGATGTGAGCTGCAGGCCTAGTTCACAACTCACTAAGTCAGGGTATTGTCATCCTAGAGTCCCAGTGGATAGAGCCTCAATGTCATTCTAGAGCCCCATGCTTCTCAATCTTGGAGGTGCATTAGAAGCAGCCAGGCACTTATGAAACTACAGACGCTTAGGCCCTGCCTACAGAGATTCCTCTTTAATTGGTCCAATTTTTTGGACCATTTTTTGGCAGGGAGTAAGGGGATGGGGAGAGAGGAAGCTGAGCCTCCTAGATGACTAGAGTGTGCAGTCACAAAGGAGAACTAATCTAGACCTTCTGGGTTTGAGGCACCCACTCAGCCCACCTCTAGAGCATTCTATGGCAGTTAGGTGAACGTGTTCCATAACCAAGCAATGCCTAACACAAACACTGAGACTTAGCATATTCTCACAAATTGAACCTGACTTTAAGGGACAAAAATAGACTCTTGGAAAAGTTGTCTGTGAATTTAAGCTATACAAATGGAATCATTTTAAACCGTTACTGTCTCACAGACATGTGAAACATTCTTTGAAGTGTGAAATAGCTGCTCACCAGTTTATCTATAAAACTGGATTTTGGCGCCCTGAGTCTTTAAAAAACAAAGTGCCTCTATATTACTTGAATATGATGTGTAGTGGTTTTTGCAGTTAAGTATTTAACAGCTTACCTTCATTGTTACCCTATTTGATGAACTGGAAACCTGTACACTCGTCCTGAAAAATCTTGTGATATTTTTTTGATTAAGCAAATTTCATTCCCTGTGGGCCAGGTCAATAGGCTTGGCCATCTGATTCTTACTCCCTTCCTTGTTTCCCCTATTCCCTAGGATGGGCAAGCCAGAGGAGTGTGCCGGCATCGTGTCTTTCCTGTGCTCAGAAGACGCCAGCTACATCACTGGAGAGACAGTGGTAGTAGGGGGAGGGACCCCATCCCACCTCTGAGGACCTGGAGAGAGCCCACCAGAGCAGAGATTGGGCTCCAATTGGTGGGTCCTGTTCTAGCATTCACTGAACTATACTTTCCCCCCTCTGTTTATCATACCGCTCACCTACACCCCACCCCCTAGAATCAATTCTGCCTTGTTAAAAGATCCAGCCTTCTCTGCAATCAAGGTGTGGTCCCATAAGGATTCCTGCTGCTGCTGTAGCCTTGGAAAAAGACTTCCCCTGAGAACAGGGCAGGTCCAGTGAGAAGGGCTGAGTCTACCTTAGCAAAGACCAACTAACATTTTTTTCCTGTGCATGGGGAATCTGAGGGAGGTGGGAGAAAAGGAACCTCAGTGGAAAAAGCAGGGTTGGAAATGAACAACTTGCAAATGAGGTACAAATAAAATGTAGGTGGTTGTGTTGCTTTGGATCAATGTGTTCATTTTTCTGTGTGGGGTGCATAGGTGTGGTGGTCAAGCAGAAAGCATAGTAAGTCAGTGGGCTGGATCTCGCATCCCCCTAGTCGTACTCCCTGTCTCCAGGACCTGAGCGTGATGCTCAAGGGCGGAGGTGTCTGCAGAGCTGGCAGCTGAGAGAAGGTGGCAGGGGAATTCCCAGGTGCTAATCTCGGCCTCATACTGGAGGGGATGGTGCCAAGGTCGCCCCGGGGATCCCCGCGACTGGGCCAGCGGGAAAGGAAGGACGAACTCCCTAGATCAGGCCAGATCCTCTCCTGACTTTGGCCTTGGCCCCGAGTTTCCTCACGGGGCGGACGAGCCGGACTGGCCGCAAGCAAGCGGGGGAAAAGAGAGGGGTCTTGCAAAGATGACCCTAGAAGGGGTACCCAGGCCCACAAAAATAAAGGAATGGGTTCTGCTTACAGTGCCAAAGGAGTGGGTGGCACGGAAAGCGGAGACGCTGTCCCCGACCCGGGAGACGACCCCGGTTCCAGGCGCCGCGCACTAGGCTACGCACGCGGGAACCGGCGGGAGGGGTGGGCGCGAGAGCGCGCGGGGTCTCACGCGGCTCCGAGGCGCGGCGCGCATGCTCAGTCCAGCACCTATCCGGGCGGGGCGGGAGACCCGGCGCTCCGAGGCGGGGGGAGGAGCGCTCGCGCAGCCGCCCCTGACAGGAGCGGGCTCCTGGCTGCTGCAGCGCTCACCGCCCGGGCCCTGCCGGAGCCGGGTCTAGCATGTGCCGCGGCTCGCAGTGGCGGTGGCTCCTCTGCAGCAACGGCGGCAGCAGCGGCCGCCATGGCCAAGCCCAGCGCGGAGCTCACCCGCGAGCTGCAAGGTACGAGGCTACGGTGGTCTCCGGGACGCCGCGTCCGGTAGCATCCCAGACCCAGTGCGTTTCTCCTCGCGGTACACCCCAGCCCCGGTGCCTCCCGCCCCCTTGCATCCGGCTCCAAGGCACCCACCGCCACCCTGCACTCTAGCCCGGGGCATTGCTGTCCCCGGAGCATCCTCCGCTGCCCACCGCGCCTCACCCTGTCAGGACCTTCCCGTCCCGGAGCCGTTCGTCCCGATCTTCGGTGACAGGTGCAGTCCCCTTGTTCTCCCTGGGACTCTCAGCGATCCTGGCCCACCTCTCGGGGAGGCGTCCAGGCTCCCTTCCGGAGAGTTCCGGCTCCCCCACCGGGCGGGGCCATGGGAGCTGCCCCCGGTCCTGACCGCGTCTTGGCTCAATACCCTTCCTTCTCCAGCCGCGCCCCGGAACTGACCCTGGAGAGCTCCTTTACTAGCCAGTGGGGCAAGAAGGGAGTTAGGGAAGAGGAACTGGATTGGAGCTAAAACGAAGAGCAGGGTCTCAGCAGCTCGCCTCCCGCAGCCGCCCCATGCCAGCCTGCCCCTCCTCGCTGTTCACGCCAATACCTCAAGGCGTCTCCTGTTTGCATGGTTCTTAGACTCAGCCCGAACCAAACCCGACCCCCCCCAGCACTACCACAACCCTGACCCGCAGAGGCGGGAGCACAGGCTACCCCACGCGAAGCCCAGGCCTCTCAAGGATATCAGAGGCATACTGCACCGTGGTGATTTCCCACACGAGCACAATCATAAGATGTGTATATACACATCTTTACAGAAACTGCACCCCCACCACACACACACGCACACACACACACACACTGGGATATCTGGATGATTCTGCCAGCAGATTGGTATGGAGCTCACTTAAACATTAACTCCTTCCCTCCCCCAATCCCCACACACACCAGAACTGTCTGGCTCTGTGACCCTTTCACAACTGCAAGCACAGCATACTCATTCACACTCATCCATCCCCATCAGTGTCAGAAGGTATGCACACACGTATAGTAAAAGGCAGACCCAGACTACCTAGAATATAGTCAAAGGGACACCCCCACACCCCCACACATTGACTCACTGTGTATGTGTTGACGGCTGCCGGAGTGCATGGGTTGGAAGAATCCTTCCCACACTCAGAGGTGTAAGACATACCCTCCCACAGACAGTGTCACTCAGCGACTGTCCCCTGACTCAGGGACATCCAGAGCCAGAGTTTTGTCTCACTCCCCTCCCTTTCAAATAGGGAGAGAAAAGTCACCCAAGAAGGAAAGGTCTCTGCCCCTGTCCTTTGTCTCTCTTTTTCTCTCTCCTCCCATCTGCCCCTGCCCCTGGAGAGTCCCGGGGAGGAGGGGCTGCCCAGGGTAAGGGGAACTCTGAGCAGGCCCCCAACCACCTGTAGACAGCATCCGGAGGTGCCTGAGCCAAGGGACTGTGCTCCAACAACATCGCGTGAAGCTGGAGACGAAGCCCAAGAAGTTTGAGGACCGAGTGCTGGTGAGGGCACTGGGCTTAGGGAGGTACCAGGGACAGCTGGCCTGGTGAGGGCCAGAAGACTGAGGGCAGGGGAGACAGGCTGGGGGAGAATTGAGGAGACAAAGCCCAGGCGGGAGGCAGGCAGGACTGGGAGGATGCCCAGGAGCCTAGGCTGGGGTGAGAGAGGGGGAGCACTCCCAGAGCAGCAGGCTGCTGCTGGCAGGGACTGTGCATAGGTTGAGGGCGCTAAAGGAGGGCAGGGAGACTAGGGCCCAGGAAGCTGCCATTTGCTGCTGATGTTCTTTTCTTCTGAAGGCCCTGACCTCCTGGCGCCTCCACCTCTTCCCCCTTAAACTCCCAGCCAAGGTGAGTAGAGCTGAGGAGCAGGAGTATACCTGGCATGCTCCCTCCCAAGCCTGGCAGCCAGGTCCTACCTTGAGCTGAGCATCCCCATTCCCCTCCAGGTGGAGAGTTCCTTCAATGTCCTGGAGATCCGTGCTTTCAACACGCTCAGTCAGAACCAGGTGAGCACCAGGGCTTAGGCCCCACTGTTGGGCCAGGGGAGGAAGGAGTTGACATCCAAGGCCCTGCTGCTCACTCTCCCCCAGATCCTAGTGGAGACAGAGCGTGGCATGGTGAGCATGTGGCTGCCGTCAGCTGAGAGCGTGGACCAAGTGACACGGCACGTGAGCTCTGCCCTCTCCAAGGTCTGCCCTGGCCCTGGGTGAGTGGCAAAGGAGGAGTCTTTCAAGGGGTTAGACAACAAGGACACTTTTCCCTCCCTCCCTCCTTCCCCTGAACTTGAGCTCCTGAGACACTGAGGAGAGGAGCTCTCTTGTCCCCACTCCTGCTTTTTCTTGGGGATCCAGAAGCTGTGAGAGGGGAAGAATTGAGAGCCTCTTTCCACCCCTCTCTGGGATGGATTCATTCATTTTCCAGGTGTCTAATCCGGCGTGGAAATGCGGATACCCCAGAAGGGCCCCGAGACACATCCCCCAACTCTGAGACTTCCACTTCTACCACTCACAGTGTCTGTGGTGAGCAGGGGCAGGCTTAAAGGAACTGGGACCTAAACTCTGTTGCCCCTTGTCCAGAGTCCTTTGTGTACGGGCGTTGCCTGCCCTGAAGACTTCACAGCTCCCTGACCTCAGAGGTTCATGGTGTAGCAGGAAGCCAGGACACTGGCACATAAAATGACCTTGACCTTTCCTTGAACCCCAAGCCTATTCCCCACCCCTTACTCCTCCTGGAGACAGCCCATTTCCTGTCCCACAGGTGGCTTTTCTGAGACCTACGCTGCCCTGTGTGACTACAATGGGCTGCACTGCCGTGATGAGGTGCAATGGGTACGTTGGGCAAGGACCCTATCAGGCAGGCAGGTTGGGCCTAGAGGGAAGGGTCGGGGTCAGGGTCGGGAGGGGAGCAGGTGTGAGCCAGTTCCACCTCTCCAAGGATGTGGACACCATCTATCATGCTGAGGATAACCGGGAGTTCAATCTTTTGGATTTCAGCCACTTGGAGAGCCGGTAAGCAGATGAGGTAGAGACTCAACTGCCCCATTCCAACCTCAGCCCAACCCTGGCCCTTCCAAACTTTTCCTTCTAGTCCCACACACAGCCCCAGTATTAACTCCCCAGCCCCACCCTCCACCGCCTTCTTCCCACCTCAGCTTTCCCAGCCCCAGCCACCCCTGCTCCAGCTACCTGCTCACCACTTCCCTGCCCCCTTCCATCTCCCCACAGAGACTTGGCCCTAATGGTAGCAGCTCTGGCCTACAACCAGTGGTTCACCAAACTCTACTGCAAGGACCTGCGGCTGGTAGGGACTAGGAGGAGCAGGGGGGACAGAGAGTAGCACCCTTTTTGGCTCCAGATCACAGCACCGGCTCTGTCCGCAGGGCTCTGAAGTTCTAGAACAGGTGCTGCATACCCTGAGCAAGTCGGGGAGCCTGGAAGAGCTGGTTCTGGACAATGCCGGGCTTAAGACGTGAGGCCAACCTCCTCCTTGGGCAGTGGTGCCCCCCCTGATGTAGTCTTAGGGTCCCAAAACTTCAGAGCACGATTCAGGTCTCTGAGCTATTTCCTCTAGCTCCTCATTTAACAGAAGAGGATAGTGAGGTCCAGAGAGGGCATAAATCAAGCCAGTGATGAAGCTGGGACTCACACCTAAGTCTCCTGACCCCCAGCTCCATGACATCCCCTTCCTCATCAACTCCTGAGCAGGATGGGCTGCTGTAGTCTCAAAGAGCCTAAGTTGGGTTTTGTCTCAGCAAACTTCCCAGGTACTATGGAGTGGTGACAGGCTCCTTGGCAGGCCCCTAGCTGCTCCCCACCTGTGGAAGCCTCTGACCTTTGCAGTCTCAGCCAGGCAGGCAGGTAGAGGAAGAGGGGAGGCCAGGGGCTGGGACAAACAAATCCTTCCTCCCCTTCCCTGAAGGGACTTTGTCCAGAAGCTGGCCGGGGTGTTTGGGGAGAACGGGAGCTGTGTGCTGCATGCCCTCACTCTGTCCCACAACCCCATCGAGGACAAGGGTGAGCCTCAGCCTTGAATCCTACCTCCACCATAATGCAGACCCCTGCCCCAGCCTAGAACCCAACCCAGATCTGAACAGGGGCTCTCCAACCTAACTCCAGCCCCTGCCCCAATA